TTATTTATTTATTTATTTATTTATTTATTTATTTATTCATTTATTCATTCATTCATTCATTCATTCATTCTTTGTGTAGTTAAATCTTAAATAAGTGAATGCAGCTCACAGTGTACTGCAGATAAGATAATTTACACAGTTTTAGGTCTGTTAAACCATGAAGAGGGGCTGTGATTATGAATTTTTTTTTAAAATTCAGGTTATTGTTTAAATAAAATCTATTTATATTCCACAAAAATACAAACATTTTTAAAAGTTGAATTATTCAGGTTGGCAAATCCTGGTTGAAGTGTGGCTTGTAAAAAACAATATACCACCACCTGGTGGTTAGAGCAGTGACAGATAGATGTCACAAAGTGCTTCAYAAGGAGCAAAACTAAATAAATACAAACTTACAATAAAATATAAAAACATAAAATAAAAGAAGTTAATAGTTGGTTATCTATTTACAGCAAAAATTAAAAGAAGATAACTTATTTCATGGTATTACATTAATTCAACATACATTTATATGATATTCATTTTTATGAAGCAAATTTTACATTTTTAATAATATCTAAAACGTTTATTGAAAAAAAAACTAAACTAAATCATTAAAACCAGATTAAACCAGATTCTGACTTTTATTATAATCGTGTTTTCTGCTGTGACCTGAAGCAGTTTTTTAAACCACTTCTCCACAATTCGCTTGTCTTAAATATTAAAATGACACCTTAAAATAATGTCTTTTGTTAGTCAGGAATCTAAAAAAAAGGTTTTATGTTTCCTAAAAAACCTTTGGCAATTGTTTTAGTAAGATAAAATTAATAATTTATTTAGAATAGATGTCTACTAAATAAAACTGTAATCACTGTTTCTTAGAAAGTAAGATTTTAAAGGAAAAAAAATACATGACATTATAACGTTAAGGATATAAAAAAGAGTCGTCTTGTTTCCACAAAACTCCAGTGTTTAAACAATTAATCAGTGAAACACAGTTTAATGATAAGTGGTGAACTGGGTTATTTATTTAYATGTATGCTGCTTGTGAATTATCACTGGTGTTGTCAGTCAGGTTTTTAATCAGGACCAGTTTCAGCCTAATCTGTGTACAGAACTGATTCTAAAGGAACGACTGCTTCTGCTGACAGACTGCGACAGCAGCAGAGACTTATCAACTGTGTCACATTACATTCCTGCTGCTTATCTCTGCTTCATGACTTCATGTTTTGTGATTAGATGTGAGCAGTGTATGTGTGTGTGAGTGTGTGTGGCTTATTTGATCCAATGTGCTGCTGCGACTCCAAACTACAGCCCACAGTGGACTGAATTCACCAGATTTATCATCAAAACTGCAGCTGCCTCGCCCGTGGAAGCAGCTGTTTAAGACAGGATGCAGTGAACTCATCCTATCAATAAACTGCCGCTTCAGGAAAGGGGCGGAGCAACGTGGAGAGGAGCGAAGTACACAAAACATTTTAATGTCTTCTACCATGAAATTAGCATTAAGCACCTTCTAGAAACTGAAATGCTGCTCAGTGGAGGGATCTGCTGCAGGACGTCCCTGACTGATGTCCAGACTGATGTCCTGGCCTTCTTTGGTGGATTAATTATTGTTTTCTACCTGCTGAAACTCACCTGGAGATGCTGGTGTGGACTCAGACAGTTTGTCTTGTCTGAACAATGGCAAGTGGATTTTAGGAAGTACGGACGATGGGCAGGTAAATTCTAAAAAAAAATCTACTCTTTTTTAAAAAATGTGTTTGCAAAGTTAAATTTGATTGTTTTTGCTGTTTATAGTGCCTGAAAGTGTAACCTAACAACAGAGTAACTCACRGATGCTCATTCAGCTCTGGTGATAATAAAGAGTAACTAGTTTCCTAAGAGTTGAAGTTTTTCCACGATCTGCCCTCTAGTTGATCTGATGGGGAACTGATAACCCTGTCCCGTTTTTGACTAGAATAGGGGTCTGCAAGCTCTTCTGATTGTAAAGGTCGCTGACACCTGGTCTAAAAATTTGTTCAGATGCTGTTTACACTCAGCAATAAAACAGTTTAAAATGGAGGTTTTGTCAATATTTTTATAAAAAACAAAAGATTTTGTCACAGCCTACACAAAGCTGCTTACAAGCTTAATAAAAAAATAAATGTTGCCCGCAGAAGAAATGTATTATGATTAATAATCATATTGGTAACATAGAGTAAATCTAATGCAAACTGTATGTGCTGTGTTGTTTATGCAGTTGTTACTGGAGCTACATCTGGTATAGGTAAAGCATATGCCTATGAGGTGAGTCTAAATATAAATATAAATGTTCTTTTCGAAACTAAAAAATGTGGCTTTAAACAGAGTCTTCCTATCACCTGCTGCAGAATCTAAAATAAAAAAGCCAAACAACCTGTCTGCATGTCTCCTTTTAGCTGGCACAGAGAGGTCTGGATGTTGTTTTGATTGGCAGATCTGAAGATAAGCTGCGAGTGGTTGCCAAAGAGATTGGTGAGTCAAAYGGATTTATGATGCAGGTGTGTTTTGTTGTTTTCATCACTGTAAACACATCTTTCTATTCCTAAATKTAAAACTAAGCAACAAAACAAATGTACACACTTTTATTTTGTTTCCCCCCCTCAGAAAATGAATATGATAGAAAGACTCACACCATTCAGGTGGACTTCACTGACGGCTGCAACATTTATCCTGTGATAGCCAAGAAACTGCAAGGCCTGGAGATTGGAATTCTGGGTAATATGGAAAAAAACGAGAATTATTTAGAAATGACTGTTGAACAATCTATGGTTTCAGCTTCCAACCCACAAATTAGCATTTTGAAAATACGTACAGTATGAAGGCAATGCTAGTAATCAAATTAAACAAGARTATAAAGGAAACAGCATCAAAGTTTTGCACTTCTTTTTTTGTCAACTTGTGGCTTCAGGTTTTTCTATTACTCCCATGATGCTCTAGATAAATGTTGGTAGAACATTAAATTTCATACAAAATCCCAATTTCCCTCAGCCTGCTGAAATGTTTTGGTGTCACAAAATTAGTCCTACGTCAGAATGCTCTGTCGACTTTAACTCAGTCTATAATACCATCCATCCCAACATCCTTCTGGACTGGTTGACCCCAACTTTCTTCCTGCCACTTCTGGCTGGATAAAGGACTTCCCTACAAATTGTCTTCAGTCTGCAAGGATTGGTGCACACAGCTCCTCCTCCCTTACACTCAGCACTGGCTCCCCCAGGGCTATTGAGCCCACTTCTATTTAATTCAATTACAAAATACTTTAATGATCCCAGAGGGAAATTAGATATTGTAGTAACTCATTTAACTAAAGATTTATTGTGGAGATGGCTAATGGTGATGATTCAACATCTATATCTATGACTGCACCCTGTCTTACTCCACCAACATCATCATAACATATGGAGATGACGATACTCTTGTGGGACATATAACTGGGATGAGGTGCAGTGACTGGAAGTGTGGTCAACCTCCTAAAAATTGAGGAGATAATCAGACTCTAAAGTCCTGAAACATTCCAGCACTGGGATGAGGTGCAGTGACTGGAAGTGTGGTCAACCTCCTAAAAATTGAGGAGATAATCAGACTCTAAAGTCCTGAAACATTCCAGCACCTTCAGTACCTTGGACAGTTCCTTCAGTCCTTCACACTGTCTACAGTCCTGAAACATAGCATTTTCAGGACCTTGGACAGTTCCTTCAGTCCTTCACACTGTCTACAGTCCTGAAACATAGCATTTTCAGGACCTTGGACAGTTCCTTCAGTCCTTCACACTATCTACAGTCCTGAAACAT